GCTGTAGTGCAGAGCAGGAAACGACTGCTTTCATGGTACAAAGTGGAACTCGCCACCACAGCCAAGCAAGCAATTTTGAGTGGGTGCCAAAAATCTACAGTCAAACTTGTTACGCTGAGCAGATTTCTTTTTTTTTTCAAAGAGGGGATATTCACAAAATTCAATAAGGAAAGAAAAACACCGATAAACAAATCACTGCTGTAAACCTAGTAGGACAAAGCACAGTGGCAGAGCACTGTTTTATCAGGCTTAACATATGTTGTCCTGTTTATGTTTTACTCTAAGTGATGCTTACTCCAAATGCAGAACTGCTTTCTCTCTGAACACCACAAAGTAAAATAAAATAATTATAATTATGCATATTCTGAGCGATATTTTAACAAAACAGGCTAAAATGTGCAAGTGATTAGAGAGCTAGTAGAACCTAGAGGCCATGACTACAGTCCAGGACAAAGACAAGCCAGAACAAGTTTGTGATCAGTCAAACAAGGAGCTATGGAAAGGGCTGCTCAGATTAAGAACAGGCAGATCAGTCATCCGAAAACAATTTCAGAGGTTACACAGTGTGTCACAAGAAAGTATGCCTGGAAGGGAACCTGGACACAGTATCTGGAGAGAGAAGAGCACTACAAGGCTTCCCTCCAAGTCCACAAAGTCAAATCTTACGTATATCCGTGCGTCCACCACCAATGCCACGGCATGTGGCCACTGAAGTCTCCTGTAAGGCTGGTCTTGCACCTTGACACAAGCTTCTATACAACAGATCAGTGGCTTTGTGAAAAGAGAGGGGCAGCCCATAGTTCACGGATACTTTATTTAAAAACAGACAGTTCATAAACTAAATACAACCAACCGTACGTGGCCTCTGACCAGCAATAAGGAAGTAGCCAGCTTCTAGAATAAACAAGACAATGAGTTTCTAGAGCTTTCTGATATTCCAGAAGGATGCTCAGTGGATGAGAGGAGCTGGAAGTGTAAACTCAATTAAATACTGCTGTGCTTTTCCTGTACTCTTGAAAGTCCCCTCTCTGAGAGCAACCCACCGCACCTCACCGTTGCTTCCAGAAACATCCTCAGACGTGCTTTAGCACAGAGGCTGGTCACGTCCAGATGTCACGTGCAGGAGACAGTGGACATGAAAAAGGGAGAAACTGGGACTGAATTCAAAATTGGAACCGACGAAACCACTCCCCTTGGACACTCCAGAAAGCACTTGGGCTCCTCATTTACTCAGCACGAGGATGAGATGGGGAAGCATGGACATCAGGAACAGAAACCGCCAGCAAGGACTTTGCCTTCAGTTTGAGGGAAGAGGATGAAGGGAGCTGCTCCACGCCTCAGGAATGAGCAGTAACTAATTCTATACACTGTGAGTATTTGTTTAGAAGTATGTCCCTTCACTGGTGACTTTGAAGCAGAGGACAACACTTAACGCAGCCTTCCCTGTGACACTCATAGATGTGGTTTCCATGTGCTCGAACAGAAGCTGCGCTGCCCGAATCTACCATGCACACCAGTCCTCTCCCAGCTCCCAGTCCATGGAACAACCTCTATGGGCCTACAGACCTGAACATCGATGGCATCCTCCTCCTGAGGGCTTGTGCTCTCCACTTGGCTCCTCAGAGTTTTAAACCTCCGTTATTTATGCACTTCTGAATAACAGAGAGGAATCAGAAGGGCAACATCCAATTTCCAGCTCCCTTTCAGGACAGGGAAAGGAGCAGCGCATGTGCATTATTCCAAGATCACACAACACTTGCTTTGCACCAGCATCCTCCAAAACAAACAGAAGCCCCCCTCAGTACTTATGGACAGAATTGCTGCTGCTTTACTCCTGTTTTTATCACTACTTATGGGATTAATGAGAAGTCAATGGTACAGGTCTCAGATAGAAACAGATCTCATATTTCACAGCCCTGTAACAGTCAGCAGCTTCTGCCGAGGGACTAATGGGCAAGGAAGAGGACTGGCACATCTAAGACACATCAGAAAGAGACTGAGTGTCCTCAACAGCACTGCACAGGGACAGCAGCATCTCTTATGGTGCCCTAAGCCTGATATACTGCTGCAGACACAGGAAACTCATGTGAGAGTTGCAAATTCCTCCAGCAAGAGGCTCCTCCTAACTCCCATCCCACCCTTCCCATCACGCGCTTCTCCTGACTCAGCAGCTCGGAGCAGAGCACAGCCCTCCCCATGGGACAGGCTGCACACAGGTCAGACCAAAAGCTCAAAGGGAACACAGCGAACCCATCTCAGATGGTCTGGGAACAAGTCGAACCTGGGTCTGCAGAGACGCCGTGCAAAACAACCCCGTCTTTCTTAAGAGAGTTTCGGTCGCTGTGTTTCAACCAAGTGTGCAGCGGCACAAAATTCCTGCAGGAGCCCTTTATCTTAATTCACCTCTTATTCCACCTGAGAGTGAAACTCGTAAGAGACACCAAAAGAGAGGAAAAATGTTGTTCGTTCCTTTTCAAACACAGCATCTGCCACCCACACATGGAGGGAGATGCAAAGATTCTGCGTGGGGGGGGGGAACCAACCAGCACCGTGCCACATCCCACCTAAAAAAGGTCCAACAAAGCACACTTGTGGAAAAAAAAAAACCAAAACCATGTTACTACCCTCACGGACATCCGGACCCTTAAATTAACTGTACATGCTCTTCAAAACCAACCCAAAACTGAAGGCACACCAGCCCGCTATTCTTGAGTGCCAGGAAACACAGCACTTCACAACTCATCTGAACACATGCTCACTAGTTTGTTGTTTTCCTCCGCATCTCACCAGGCTCCGACTGAACCGATCCAAATGTGCTGAAAATACAATTACTGCTGAGACATCCAGGCAGCAGTGCACCTCCAAAACAGAAGGGTATTTTCAACTGCCTGGTCCTTCTCTTGCTTTGATCTGACAAAGCAATGCATCTTCCTTGAAGGGTACACTGGGATGTAAACCTTAACATATAAAGGTATTCCACCTAAAAAAAGAATAAAATGGAATAGCAACTTGGAATTCCTGCAGCAGCTACATTTTAACCTCTTTATGGCCAAATAATCTTGGGTTAAGTCATGTTGATAGAAAAAACAAGGCGTTTCCAAATTCTTTAATTGTTGTCCTTGTACAAACTGAAGCCAAATCCATTCCAACTGAAGCCAAATCCATTCCAACAAGACTCTCTGATTACTGAACTATGCATTCGTTTCTCTAGTCTCCAAAATGCTTTTATGAATCTCATTCTGTGCTTTTCATTGATGAAAACAGAACACATTTTACAAGGCATCCTCGAGCTCAATGACACCAAGAAAACAACAGATGGGTGCAAGCGGTGATCTCCATGGAGTCCTATCAGAAAGATGAGGTATTTGATACCCTTTTTCTTGTTCAGGTGGAACATTCACTACCAAACCCTCAACATCTCAACTCTAATGTCCCTGTAAGCAGCACACTTTATCTTAAATGCATGCATGGGGTTATTGCAGTTGAGGAGGTTTTGTTTGAGCAAATCAAAAAAGACGACATCCTGTTTTCCGAAACCTCAGCTGTACTTTTCAACTCTGACACAATACCGTGATGTTCTCCTTTCAGACCGAGAGACTGCAACCTGAGATAAAAACATATGGGATGCGCGTAGCCATTATCGGGCCATTTCACGAGTCTGTCAAGTTGTCAACATCTGGTGAAAGCACCGAATCCTCCACTTCATTAGACGAGTTTTCTTGTTTCTTCCATTACTTAACTTTTAGCATATAAATGTTTAGCTATTTTGTATTTTATACTTAGAAACCATCTTGCGTGATCGGCTTGCTTCAGACAGAGGGAAGATGATTCTGACACTGGTTCATTAATCTGACATACAGTCCGCTTCCCAGAAGCCTTTTGCTCTCATCTAATGTGTTGTCTTCCACCACGTCACTTACGGCCCTCACTCACTCAATTTTTCTGGTTTTCTATATAGCTACATAAAAGCCCAGTCTCCCTCCCCTGCCTGTGCTTTCCACTGACCTGGAAGCCTCTCTCCCCACCACCCCCAGAGCACCATACGTCTTGGGAAAAGCGTTTGCCAGACTCCGAATTCCTGAGGATCTATAAGTTGATGCAATACCATGAGCCACAAACTCCAGACATTCCTCCCTCCAAGGCCTGACATTTAGACGTGCATGCCTGAACAAGTCTTGATAACAATTCCTTCCTCATCCTTTCTCTGCTCTCCCCCATTCTCCCACCATCTGAGAGCAAGTCTGAAAAAAAGAATTCCTTCCACGGAGAAAGGTCAGCACCTAGAAACAGTCTTTTTTTTAATGATAGACTCAATTTTAAGCCTGTGTTATGTGATAGCATCTAAAGCTAACTTCCTCCACAGTCTCCTCCCTTCCCCAGTAAGTCTCGTGTTAAGTTGTTCCTTATCCCCATCTTCAGCTACTCCCAAAAAACTTTTTTTTTTTTTAAATAATAACTCAAGTAAAAAAGAGAAAGGCTTGAATGACGGAGAACAGCAACACACATGCAAAAGCCACAGTTTTGTTCAGTAACCAACGGCTGACTTTAAGCTATTGCTCTCTTCACGTTGCCATATTGAACCAGGGAAAAGAAGTACACTCAGTCCACGCCAAATAGCATCACGATTAGTCACAACTGTGCAACACGCTTTTTGAGAGATGCAAGGGTGAAACAAAAAAAAGCACCAGACTGCATCAGGAAGGACAGCCTTTAGGAGGCAGACAGAGCAAAATCTCACGTACCCGAACGCACTCCCAGTCCTCACCTTATTGGCTCTAATCTGCTTGTAAATGTCCGTCTGCTGCCGGATTCGGTATTCCAGGTCTGAGACGTGGGCTTGGAGCCAATTCCAGCGACTGACGATGGCTGCACGGTCTGCTGCCCATCTCCACTCTGCCCTTCGCCTCCTAGAAAAACAGAGAGGGGAAGGAGGGATTATTTTGAGTGTGATTTTAATTACACAGCCCGCAAAAAAACCTGGCAGAACTGACAGATGGATCAAAAGCTACACACTGAATGGCACGACTGATACCATCTCGCCGCTGCTAATAGTTACCCACCGAGCTACAGACATGCTATAAAAGCCGTGCCTCCGCAGAGCAACATTAAAACAACTTTTGGTACCCAGGGACTGAAGTCCTGCCTATGCAAGCGTTAAGATTTTATTCCACGCTTAGCTGAACCAGCAGCTCCAGTCCTACCTGGCCACAGCTGCCAGACCCACTTTGTCAAGTCTCGGAGAAAACAAAACCTCCCTGCCCTCCCTTCCTCGACAAAGCCTCTTCAGAAAAAAAAAAAAAAAAGACCACCTCTGTCATCACTCACAAAACACACCTGAACACCAGCACAGACCACGCAGCCGCAATTAAAACTCGGTGGCGAGTTTCACGACACACCATCGTTTGGTTTTAAGAGTAACCACTGTGTGGAGACGAGCAACAGCACCTTGTAAAAGCTGCTCCCCTGCAACAAGGCATTGCAAAGGAAAGCAGGCAACAGTAAATTTGATTTCTGCATCTGATGGCTTGACTGAGCAAGCAGAGAAGGCAGGAAAAAACATCACAAAACTACCAAGTGAACAATGACTTCTGATCTCCGGGCTCAGAGGCGCAACTTGAGAGCAGGCGAGAACGTGTGGGTGCATGGGGGAACCCACACGCTTTGCAACTCTTGGCTGATTTCCAACCTTCTTTATCTCTGCTGTGAGTGCAAAGTAGGGCTCTGCAGGAGCATAAATACGCTTTCACTAGTGCACGGACTACACCATTGCATTTTACAGTCAACTGTTACAAAAACACCTTTACTTTCTACTACCGCCCTCCAGGGCAGAAAGGAACACAAAGATGATAAGGTACATATAAATCCACGGCCGCACTCTCCCACGTTAAAAAGCCATAACATTACGAAAATATACCCTAAGCATCCTGATTCTGGATAAATACCAAGGCTACCCAGAAAGGAAGAAAACCACAACATGGTGCATCAGCAGAAAACGCACGCACAAATCCAGTGCCACTCCACAAAGCCTTTGCCACATCTGGATGTTTGGCAATTAAGAAATTAATCACACAATAATTCCCCTTGCCCATCTCCCCCTCCTTCTGTAGTGTTTCTGAACCCAGCGAGAGCACACGGGGCAGGGGAGCCACAGCGATGTCCAGATTTTCCTTCCTAAAATCTAATCAGAGAGTCTTCTGCTGAGATTAACCCATTTCAAAGCTGAAACCAGCCATTATAGCAAAAGCAGCACGTGGTAAATGAGATTTACTACTGAAGCACCCCAGCTGCAGAGATGGTAAGCGACAGCAATACTCAAGTTCTCAGAAACATCTACACCTCCTGTATATCTGCCCTTATTTAGCCATACCGCTACCAAATGCACTTGCCTAAAAAAACCCCAAAACCAGCACCAGGGTTATTACAAGTTTCAAATGAACTAATACAAATACCCTGAAAAGGAGTCAGTTCCTTCAAACTGCAAGCGAAACCCATAAATTTAGAGCAAGACACGTTCTCCATATTCTTGCTGGATCTCCCAGCCCCCTCCAAGACCATTTTCAAAGCACTTTTAGGAGCTTAAGTCCTTCTCCCTGGAATATTTACCAGTGTAGAGCGCCTGCTCTGTTTTGAGCAACGCTGACCTTATGTTTGGTGGAAATTTAAATATTTATTGCAGAGGGATGCCAGAGCAAGGCCAGATCTTGATGCATCGGTTACACCAAGGATACAGTCAGCAGAGCCCCAGACAAAAGGCGGCCAAGGCCACTGAGCACCGGTGCTGGGTAAAGCCCTGACATACCTTCCGAGCAGGGCAGAGCGACCACGGGGTTAATCTGGTTGACAATGGGCTGAGCAGTTGCCAACACCACCCCAGCATCACCCGATCACGCAGCACTAATCCAGATCCCCGGCCCAGTCATGCTTTACTCTGTTTTCCAAGAAGGATAATGCCTTGCAAGCTTTACGATCCCTCCTCCCCAGAAGGGATCTCCAGCCTGAGCCTAAATGGCACAAAATCCCCTCCACCACTCCAGAGGGCAGGAAAGGAGTGCTTGGGAAGCAGATCTCCCTTATCTCGCAGACTTTTCTCCGAGCATCGCTGGAAAAGTGGCGCTGCTCTGCCTCAATCACCCACGAGATTGACAGCGTTTTCACATCGTAGTTTCCCACAAGACTTTCCAGAACACATTACTTCTCTGCCAGCCAAGTTTCAGTGAAATTCTACCATATTCTCATTTCAGAAGCTAAGAACAATTTTACTGGAGAAGAGTTTGTCTTTTTTCATATAGCTGGAAAAAAGGAAAGACCTCTGCAACGGCTGTGTCTGCTTTTATGGCATCTTCTGTGGATGCAACAGACTATCTGCAGCCCTAGAAAGTTTACGACTCTAAGCCAGATCTCAGCAGGCTTCAGTTTGCTCTCTGGGGATCCGCGTAGCATTAGAGATTATTTTTAGAAATATCAAAAGCTGTTGAGAGGACCTCCGAAGTGCCAGCTCCCTTGCTTGCCTCTGCAACGTTATAAAGCACCTTTGCCTGCTGGAACAACACTGGCAAGCTCCATTAGATGCAGCTCGTTCTTTTGCTCAGATCACACAGAAATGGAGATTAAGTACCAAAAATCACCTTACGCCTGTTTCAGATTCCTAAACGACATGGCAGCGTAAGCAGCAGCAGAGCTGCTCTTCACCTTAAAATCAGGACACATCCTACCCCAGAAAAAAACCCCACTGGATTTAAACCAAAAATAAAACAAGAAAGCGAAACAGCAACGTACACTTCATCCTCTGACACCCTGTGGCATAGGTGGAGGAGGGGAAGATACATAATGACGGCTCAGCCACACTTTCCAAAACAGCACTGAGCGTAGTGTGGCCCTCTATATTTAGAAATAAGCCTTTTTCAGAGCCTGTTCAATTACACCCTTTGCTGCCATGCGCTGGCACCAACATGGATGTGTTTTCCTCACGCAGATCAGCTCTCGCATAACGAGCTCTGTAGCTTCTTTAGCTTGAACCTCTACACAAATGTCGGGCAGGAACAATTATTTTCTCGACTCGCGCCAGAAAGCAGCAGCCACGCACGAAATACGGCACCTGGAGTCGCTGCAGCCAGCACCGAAACCTCAGCCAGACACCCGGCGCTGGGGGCAGGGAAACCCGCTCCCTCGCTTTCCAACCATGAGGGATCTGAACGTGGCAATTAATAAAAGAGTTTATTGCCTTTGCTCCAAACAGGTTTTGGATTAAGCTGAAGACGAGGACTGAAGAGACGGCCGGGTGGCTGCAGAGCGCGGTGTCGCCGCGTGGCACGGCTGGAGCGTGGTGGTCTTGGGCTTCGAGAGGCAAAGCTGGTGCGGGGAGTAAGGTGGGCAGCAGCAAAGCAGCTAAATCCTGCATCCTCCGAGGGAAACTGTCACCGGGTGTGCTCCGTGCGAGCGCTTGCGCACAACAGGCTCCAGAGGATGGCACGGGACAGCCCCTCCGGCTGGGACGGGAGGGTAAGTTCACGAAACAGCTCTAGCACAGAAAAAGAATTATTTCGGGGCTTGATATTAGAAAATAAAAAGTTTTCCCATGTAGGCTCATCATTCCCTTTCGGCAGGCACCGGACCTCAGCAGACGGTGCGTACGGCAAACAGCGCGCACGCGCGGAATCCGCAGCGCCAGGTCTCCTCGCGCGGAGGGAACCCGCACATGCCCGGAAGGTGCCCAAGAGGGCCGGGAGGCTGGGATGGAGGAGGAAGAAGCGGGGAGCGGAGCCAAGCTCAGCCCACAGGGTTATAAATAAATATCACGGGAGGCTGCAGGGCTTCACGGGAAGGGGGCAAGGGAAGAACGGGATCCCTCTCCCCATCCGGGGTGAAAGCCCTCAGGTCCTGCCCTTTGTGGCGGGGGGAGGGCAAAGCCTCAAACCTGGTGCCAACAGGCTGCCCCGCGGCACCAACAGCTCCTGCCCTGCAGCACCGTGCTCCAGGCGTCCAGGAGAGAACTCCTCAGCCTTTAGAAAACTACGGGAGGTAACTTCAACATGAGAAATTCTGGGAGGTAAACACTTCTTCCTCAAAAACAGCAGTTAGTTTAACTTGACTGCGGAAGGGAAAAAATATAAATCCTGTGTTACATCAGCCCAACTCCCTGGGACGGGCTCCAGGTCATCTCTAAGTACTAAACAGGCAACTGTGGGTTAAAATCAGTTCTCCTAAGTAGCAAAGTCAGCTTCGGGAAGCAAAACCCACCGGCCAGGTGCTCCAGCCAGGCAGCAGCGTCCAGGTTTCAGAGGGACAGAAGGGCGACTCGCTGCCGCGGGGCAGGGGGTGCCGGTGCCCCCGGGCAGGGCTGCCAGCCCCGCGCACCGCAGCGCTTGGCTTCAGCTGCTTCAGAAAGGCGTGTGTGCTCCCGTTTCATTATTTTTTTTATTAGGCAATATAAATACAGCTCTGCCAATGAACACGGCAACACCTCAGTCGACGCACTCCCATCGGTACAGCCTGTGCTGGGCCCGGCTCGGTTGTCTCAGCAGACGTGGTGCTGTAAAAGCTGCACAAGCTCCATATAGATAAGCCCTCCCCAACACAACCTCCACCTATGACATGTGCTTAAACCAAAGCCTATGTATAAAAATCAAGTCAAAGCTGTCCACAGAGCATTTCTGGGTCAAGACGCACAGGGATCTTTCCGCTCCCAAGGAACGGCACACCCATGGCCTCCTCCCATGAGCAGGTTTTACGTATTGCCTTAATCACAGAACGGTTTGGGTTGGAAGGGACCTCAGAGATCATCTGGTTCCAACGCCCTGTCATGGGCAGGGACATCTTGCACTAGACCAGGTTGCTCAAAGCCTCATCCAACCTGGCCTTGAACACTTCGAGGGACAGGGCAGCCACAACTTCTCTGGGCAACCTGTGC